CTTTTTCCAACAGCATTTGTTTACTTTGTGTCTCTGTGTCACAGTTTGGTAATGCTTGCAATACTTCAAACTTTTTCATTATTCTTCTATTGGTTACGGTGGTCTGTGATCAGTGATCTTTGATGCTGCTGTTGTAGTTGTTCTGGGGCACCAAGAACTGCTCCCTTATGAGACAGTGCACTTAACTGATAGATGTCGTGTGTATTCTGACTGCTCCCCCCACCGGCCATTCCCCCGGCCCACTCCCTCTCCTCAGGCCTTCCCGTTCCCCGAGACACAACGATATTGAAATTAGGCCAGTTAATAATCCTATGGTGGTCTCTAAGTGTTCAAGTGAAAGGAAGACTCACAGGTCTCTCACATTAAGTCAAAAGCGAGAAATAGTAAAGCTTAGTGAGAAAGGCATATTAAAAACGGAGATAGGCTCTTGGGCCAGTTAGCCAAGTTGTGAATGCAAAGGAAAAGTTCTTGAAGGATATTAAAAGTGCCACTTCAATAAACACACAAATGATAAGAAAGCGTACCAGCCTTACTGCTGCTATGGAAAAAGTTTAAGTGGTCTGGGTAGAGGCTCCAACCAGCCACAACATTCCCTTAGACCCAAAGCCTAATCCAGAGCAAGGTCCTAACTCTCTTCAATTCTGTCAAGGCTGAGAGAGGAGGAGGCTGCAGAAAGAAACGTCTGAAGCGAGCAGAGGGTGGTTCCTGAGGTTTAAGGAAAGGTGCCTCTCCATAACATCAGTGTGCAAGGGGAAGCAGCAAGTGCTGATGTAGAAGCCGCTGCAAGTTACCCAGGAGATCTAGCTAGGTCATTACTGAGGGTGGTTACACTAAACAACAGATTTTCAATGTAGATGAAACAGCCTTCTATTGGAAGAAGATGCCAGCTAGGGCATTCACAGCTACGGAGGTGAAATGAATGTCTGGCTTCAAAGCTTCAAAGGACAGGCTGACTCTCTTGTTAAGGGCTACCGCAGCTGGTGACTTTAAGTCGGAGCAGTGCTCATTTACCATTCTGAAAATCCTAGGACCCTGAAGAATGATGCTAAATCTACAAATGGAACGGCCAAGCCTGGATGACAGGACATCTGTTTACAACATAGTTTACTGTATGTTTAAAGCCCATTGATGAGACCTACTGCTCAGAAGAAAAAGATTCCTTTCAAAATATTACTGTTCATTGACAATGCACCTGGTCACTCAAGAACTCTGATGGACTATGAGATTGTCACTGGCGTAACCCTCGGACTCCCCGAACTCAGGAAACTCCTAGAAACTTCTATCAATTTCATCTTTTAGAAACTAACAAATTGCTGGAACAGGAAAAGAAACATTTAAGTAGATCCCAGGACTATGCCTGCTCAGATGAATCAGAAGGTGCCCTACTAAGCTACCTCAGCTTGTCATTCTTATCATAATGTTAAAATCTCCTCTGAATATTCACCCCGAGCCCTCACAAAAGGAAACTGCTCACCCTTGTTTGAGGAGTCATTCCACATGATATCCTTATTTGTACAAATAAAAAGGACTTTGTGAGGGAACCCCACCTGGTGTAGTCTGTCCATAACTCATCAAGGAATGGACCCACATTGGTTAGGTAACAAGATCAATGTTTTTTTCATGACTGCTAACACAACATCTATTCTGCAGCCTGTGGATCAAGAAGTAATTTGGGGGCACCTGGGTGGCTCAGTTGGTGAAGCATCTGACTTCGGCTCAGGTCATGATCTCATGGGTCGTGGGTTTGAGCCCCATGTTGGGCTCAGTGCTGACAGCTCAGAGCCTGGAGCCTGCTTTGCATTCTGTGTCTTCCTCTCTCTCTGCTCCTCTCCCTCTCGTGCTCTGTCTCTCTCTGTCAAAAATAAAATAAAAATTAAAAAAAAAAGAAGCGATTTTGACTTTTACTTATTACTTAAGAAATACATTTCATAAGGCTATAGCTGCCATAGCTGGTGATTCCCTCTGATGGATCTAGGCAAAGTAAATTGAAAACCTTCTGGAAAGGATTCACCATTCTAGATGCCATTAAGAACATTTGTGACTCATGGGAAGAGGTCACAATATCAACATTAATAGGCATCTGGAAGAAGTTGATTCCAACACTCATGGATGACTTTGAGGGGTTCCAGACTTCAGTGGAGGAAGTCACTGCAGATGTGGTAGAAATAGCAAGCAAACTAGAATTAGGTGTGGAGCCTGAAGATGTGACTGAACTGCTGAAGTCTCATGATAACACCTGAAACAGATGAGCAGTTGCTTCTGATGGGCGAGCAAAGAAAGTGGTCTCACGGGATGGAAACTATTCCTGGTGAAGATGCTGTGAAGACTGTTGAAATGACAACAAAGGGGGCGCCTGGGTGGCGCAGTCGGTTAAGCCTCCGACTTCAGCCAGGTCACCATCTCGCGGTCCGTGAGTTCGAGCCCCGCGTCGGGCTCTGGGCTGATGGCTCAGAGCCTGGAGCCTGTTTCCGATTCTGTGTCTCCCTCTCTCTCTGCCCCTCCCCCGTTCATGCTCTGTCTCTCTCTGTCCCAAAAATAAATAAAAAACGTTGAAAAAAAAAAAAAGAAAGAAATGACAACAAAGGATTTAGAATATTCCATAAACTTAGTTGAGAAAGCAGTAGAAGGGTTTGAGAGGATTGACTCCAATTTTGAAAGAAGTTCTGTTGGTAAAATGCTAATAAACAGCATCCATGCTACAGAGAAATAGTTCATGAAAGGAAGAGTCCATGGATGCCTGCTCTCCTTGCCTCCCTTGACTTTCTCCTCCCTTGATCTCTGTTTCACTCCCCACTATTGTCCGTTTTATCTTCCTTGCCGACTTCGCTTTTTCCATCCAAATTCCTCCTCAGTTTTTTCCCCCTCTCCCCAGAGTCTTGCTGGGGATCTCATTCATCCCATGATTTTGACAATCACTTCTACTTACATGATGGCTAAATCAGTAGTAAGTCTTGTCCTAAACCTTAAGCTGCTGTTTCCAACTATCTCCTGGAATCTATTTCACACATTCTTCAAACTGAACCTGTCTAAATGCTCTATCTCCACTTCAACTCTGCTGTTGTTCTTCCCTGTTCGCTAACATGGAACTGTCACCATCCACTGTGTAAACCTTGGATACAGAAAAGAATTAACAGAAAGTTAATTGGAAAGTTTTGCTTATGAGATTGGCCATTGGCTGGTATCTGGGGACTTAGCTCACAAATAGTTCCCTACACTGATCTAAAACCTTCCCTAAATGACAGTGGTTCACTGTGCTGAAACTGTTTGTACATGACAATGTGGTTTATTCTGAGTGCCTGTTTTCCTTCTGTAAGTCTGAAATTTTGGCAAATGTTAGGCAGAGGGTACTTAGGTGACCAGCTCCCAGTTAAAAGCCTGCGTGAGTCTCTAATGAGCTTCCCCAGTAGACAACACTTGTCAACGTTGTCACATCTCATTGCAAGAGGATTTGAGCTTGTCCTGTGCGAGTCCACTGGAAGAGGATCCTTGGAAGCTTGCAGCTGGTTTCCTCTGTCTTCACTCCCTTTCTCTTCCCCTTTGCTGATTTTGTTATATATCCTTTCGCTGTAATCTCGGGCATGACTATGACCACATGATGAGCCCAGTGAGTCTTTCTAGCAAATCACCCAACCTGGGGGACGTCTTAGGGTCCCCCAACACATCTTAGCATAATTGTAACCCTCTTTTCCTCACTCTCTATGTTCAGTTAATCACCAATTATCATTAGCTCTACCTCTAAATTAAAAAAATTTTTTTAATTAAAAATTTTTATTTTATTAAGTAATCTCTATACCCATGATGGGGCTTAAACTCACAACCCCAAGATCAAGAGTCTCATGCTCTACTGACTAAGCCAGCCAGGCACCCCTCTACCTCTAAATATTTTTAAAAATATATCTTGTGTTCACAACCCTCATTGCCTTGATGCTATAACCGTGGCTCCATCTGGACCACCCTCCTTGCTTTCCTCTGGTAGAGAAAGCAAAACTCCCAGGCTGGAGAATAGCACCAAGCCAAAGCTATGCAGAGCTTCTCTCCCAAAGCCAGTTTCCTCAGCTGCAACAGGTGGATGATGATAATGCCTATTTCATAGAGTTGCTGTCAGGGGTAAATAAGAAAAATGCAGATAAACTTCGTGAGGTTATCTTGGTAAAGTCCTTAGCACATAACAATCCTTCAACAAATGTTAGCTGCTGTTTCCAATGCTAGTATTAATGATCTGCAGACTGCATCTGGTCACTACCTGGGAGGCTCAGCCAATTGTGGTACCAAAACCACTGTGTGAAATTAGGCCCTCAGTTTCCTACCCCTATAATCTGCAGCAGGCCCACCCCAAAATGCATCTCTGTGGGACTCCACGTAGTTGGCATTTGTGGGTGCCCTTGTCCTTTGATGAGGTGTCCTCCTGTGGGAGAATGATGAGACATAGCTTTCTTTTGGTTGCAGAGGGTGGGTGCAGCAGGGGAGGAAGCCAGAATGGTCATGGAGCTCTCCAGGTTCTTGATGTTACAGCTGCAAATATTTGGAGTTGTGCAAAACCATCAGTGATTTCAGATAAAAGAGCCACTGCAAAGGACTAATGAGCCGGTAGCATCACGGGCTATAAAAATAGAAATTAAGACACACAGACACACACACACACACATACACACAGAGATCAATATATGAAGTGATAGATGTGTTAATTAACTAGATGGTGGGAATCCTTCCGCAATGTCTATGGATATCGAATCATCACAATGTACAATTAAAAGTTTCTATTTTCAGTATCTTCCGTGACTATCCCAGGAATTTTTGTCTGAATGAAAAACTGTATGGGATCATTACAAAAGTTCTCCACAGTTGAAATAATGAAATCGTAAAGCTTAAAGATCGACTCAGGATTCCAAATATCGATGTATTTATCAACAAACTGAGTCATTCACTCTAAAATTCCATGCTATTAAAAACCACATAGAAACAACTTCTGATTAAAAACAAACAAGAAAGAGCAGCAAAGGTAAGCTGGGTAGTACATTAAGTTTATTTTGAATTATAACATGGAATATGTCACCAAACAAATGGAGGTAATGAACACTTTTGTGGCTCACTCAACAAATGATTTGCATAGGAATTGCTAGTTCTGTCTTAGGATGCAGAGCTCATTGTATTGTGAATTAGATGAACATAAAAGAAGAATCATCATCATCATCAAAAAAAAAAAAACATCTACCTGTGTGCAAAATAAATGCAATTTTACTTCAAATAACAGACTTTAGTTTTTGGTGCATGGTTAATACAATCATCTTCCCTGTTATGGATAATGTCATAATCTCATCCAGACCAAACCTGATCCTTCTAGGCTAGAGATCTCTTACCTATAGCAAGAGATTAAATATTGTTAAATATTTAATCCATTAAATATTGTTAAAGCTACTGGATTCATTCTTATAGCTCTAATGTTGATCAAGAACATTATCCACTTAAAACAATGTAACACATAGGCCAAGGACAACATATCTTAGTGAAAACATGAAGTTCATGATTTCATCCCATTTTGTCTTTTGGAACTTTGTTATCAGTACCCACAATACTGTTTTGATTTATGTCAGTGATCAGCAATCAGTTTTGGCCCAAGGGCTAACAAAAGGGGAAAAATACAAAGCATTTAAGGCCACACTATTTTCCTCTTCAAAATGAACATAGCTTTCTGAAATTCCCATGGGGGAAAGTGTGCATTTGTACTTAGTACTTTGCTAAGTAAAAGAAAGTCAGTGAGGAAATTGGCACTGCTTTATAGTTACTAAAGGATTTATATCTGGGTGTTTTAGCAATACAGACAGATCTTTCTAAATTTTTATCCCGAAATTAGATTGTTGAGTTGTTGCATAGCTAGTCAGGCTATAGGCATCCCTGGGGACTCTGTGGGTGACTCATTACAGCCTTTGTTTGTGACATTGATTAAAATAAGCTGATTTCTGTTGATTGATTATTTTATCAATCATAACAAACCTTAGGAGAGTATCTTCTAATTTCAAAAATTATATTTGATCATTGACTGGCTTAAGGATAATGCTTTCAGGACCCCTGCAAGTTAGTTAAAAAAAACAGTGGGGATTACATTTTCTTCCACGTTAACATGTCTTTAACATCCAGAACATTGCCTGGAAACCAGAGCAGAAAATGAAAAGAAAACTAAAGATGTATTTAAATACCAGAAATGCCATCAGTGTTTATTATGGTAAAGACGGTTTATTATGGAAAGACGGTTTAATTTTAGCGTGTGCAATTAGGCACTGACTGAGGCATTTAGACACCATTGATTATAAAGTGCACTGTACATAAATTTTGATTCCCCTCCAAGGAATAATTCAATAAAACTCAGGACTCTTTCTTGGAATCAATCAGCTCAAGAACATGCATAGATGAACACCTATTAAATACTAATAACAGTCTTTTATTACTTATACTCCTGCAATATAATAGAAACGTATTGTACTTGCATATATCACATTTCATCCAAGGACCTCAAAGTCATTGTGTCAAGCAATGTGGTGCTGGGAGCTCAGGATTGCACAGCATAGGAAGTCTACTTAGTTATGGCATGGGAAGCGGATTCCCAACGAGAGAACCAAAATAAAAGCTCAAAGAGACAAGCCTCAATTTCCCATGGCTTGTAATTTTCTGCGTTCCCCAAATTGCCACTTGCTTCCCACCGTACCTCAATATTGATTCTTGGTAAAAATGATTTTTTACGTGTTGGAATAAGACGAGGATCAACTCACAAATCAACAATTTGTCTTTTTTATAGTTCAACAGTCCACCTTTGAAAATCACACGGTGGAATGTCAGAAGTGGCTTTTTAATGTGAATTTACACTTCATTGATTCAGAATAAACGTGGCTACAACCTTTGGGGAGAAGAAAACATTTTACGCTGGCATGACATACATGTATGTGTAAAACATGAGGGAGCTGTATCTTTTTGCACACTGACATTTAATGCAAAAGTAAAAGTGCTTTGATTCACTGAAGATCAGACTTTCAGTATTTTAAAGGCTTTTGTCATCTTGCTTAAACCTTGTCAAGGGTTTAAGTCTTAGAGTTTAACTGAGAGACCCAACTTAGCGTAGTGTAAAACGAGTTTCTGTGGAATCCACGAATCTGCCAGGCCCCACAGCAGTGGGGGCGCAGGCCAGTGTGAGAAGCCCACATAAGTGAGGGCAAGGGGTCCCTGAGCCTTTCTGTTCTTGACTCAGGGCACAGAGCCCAGCTCTCCTTGGTCAGGGACCCAGGGAGGGCATTCTGAGCATTTCCTTTCTTAATGGAATTTCCAACACTATTTGAAAAGTGACTTCTTTTCGGACAATGTGATTACGGTTTCTATCTTTCAGTCAAATATGGAACTAAGTTAGCTCTTCCTGTGTCCTTCTTTACTTCGGAGGAGACGCAGGATACGTTCGTTTTTGGTTAGTTCTGCCGGAAGTTCATTGGCCTAAAGAAGATAAGATAGGTATTAGTGAATTCCCACAGTTGGGATGGTTTTAGGGACTCCAAAGAGGGACTCCTGACCCAAACTTGCTCCTCTGCTGGTGAGCAACCTCACTGGACTCACTCTTGTTTTAAGGCATTAAAGGTCTCCTTTAAGCGTCTAAATATCGCCTGTTATTTTCTTATCTCATCGTTAGAGTTCTTTTTCTCTCTGAACCATATCCCTTAACACATTGTAATCTCCTGGCGGCCAGGGTCCACGTATTATTAATCACTATATTCTCACTTCCGGCATGATGCCTGGTGCATCTAGTATGTGCTCAGTAAATACTGGAAATGTTAAATTTGATACTTTACACTTAATTCATGTATTATGTGGAGCAGCCTGTCTGCTAGGGACCTGACACTCAGGACAGGTTATCTTTTGATGAGAAAACAGAGTTAGAAACATTCAGAGAGTAAAAGATTCCTGGTCAAGAGCAGCTTCAGTGTGTCCTTTCTTCTCATGCTGCTGAGACACATTGTCTAGGCATTTATTTCACGAGTGAGTCCTTACCAACTGCAGCTAATGTTATGGGCCAGCGGTTCTCAAACTTTTTGGGCTTAAGACCTTTTTACGCTCTTAAAAATTATTGAGGACACCAATGAGCTTTTGTTTTTAACTTATTAGAAATGAAAATAAGAACATTTAAAAATATATTAATTCATTAAAAATCATAAATCCACTATAGGCTAACATAAATAACATTAATGAAAAACAACCAAATTTTCAAAAACAAAAAAGTTAGAAGAGTAGCATTGTTTAATAGATTTGTGTATTTCTTAAAAAAATTTTTTTTAAATGTTCATTTATTTATTTTCTAATTTAATTTTTTAATGTTTATTTATTTGTGAAGGAGAGACAGACAGAGCATGAGTGGAGGAGGGGCAGAGGGCAAGGGAGACACAGAATCCAAAGCAGGCTCCAGGCTCTGAGCTGTCAGCACAGAGCCTGACATGGGGCTCGAACCCACGAGCTGTGGGATCATGACCTGAGCCAAAGTCAGACACTTAACTGACTGAACCACCCAGTCGCCCTATAAAATGTTTATTTATTTTTGAGAGAGAGAGAGAGAGAGAGAGCACAAGCAGGGGAGGGGCAGAGAGAGAAGGAGACACAGAATTCGAAGCAGACTCCAGGCTCTGAGCTGTCAGCACAGAATCTGACGTGGGGCTCGAACTCATGAGCCATGTGATCACGACCTGAGCTGCAGTCTGACGCTTAACTGACTGAGCCACCCAGGCACCCCTAGATCTGCAACTTTCTTGAATGTGTAGCTTAATTGAAGACATCTGGATTTTCACATCTGTTTCTGCATCTAATGTATTGTGATACATTGTTTTGGTTAAAGCCCCTATGAAGAAAATTCAGCTTCACACAGATAGGTATTTGGAAAAGGGAGAAACATTTTAAGAGCCTTTTCAGATCATTGTAGATATTCTTCTTTGATGCCACACCAATACTAAACAGGTGGTAGTTTCTTAAAGGTAATTTCAGCGTGGAATCTGAAACCATGTCAATGAACTTTTTACCTTAAAAATCCATAGATCTATCTATCTACAGGTAGGATGTTTCCCCATGCATGATTTGATACATCACACACTTTATCTGGAAAATATCCGTTCAATGAGTTATGCCGCTCTTCCAAATGTTGACACATTGCATCATACAATCTCAAAAGATCACATTCATTAATATCGGCACCGATTCATCAGGAGAGCCTGTAGGTGGATTGGGAAGCTGTCAGGCTCACACGGTGGACACAAGCTGTTCTTTGAAATAAAAATGGTGTTCCAAGAAAAAGCAACTGGCCCACTTGGTAATTCAAACAAACGCACGCGCGCTTTTCCTTGAGACAACTGTTGCACGTCAGGGTACAGAAGTGCTGTATGCGTACTTCCATTTTGTTACGTAGAATGTTAAAAAGGTGTATAACGAGGGTCAAGATTTAATATAATTCAAATTGCTTACTGCTTCATCAAAGACATTCTTAAAACTGGGATTTTCGTCAAATAATTTACAAAATCTGTGAAATAATTTACAAAGTTCTGTAAAATCATTTGCCAGTATAGTTTATATTCCTGCTTTGATGTGTAAGGTGCCAGTTAACCTAATGCCAACATGACAGCAAATGTCAGCACAGTGGAAAAGGCAAATAACATCTCTGCTTTATTAAGAATATTGTTTTGATTTCTTAGATATCTTGAAAGAGCCTTGCAGACCCTCCGGGGTCCATGGACCATACTTTGAGAACTGTTGTTATAGATGAATCCCAAGGATATTCTTGGGATTTCAGGGGAGGCGGTTAAAGAGCAGAAAAGCACCCAGAATGGAGTAGAGGGCTTGGATGCACATGTTATTTGCCTCACACATTTTTTCCTCCCACAGCCATATCTGGAACCCCATCTACTTTATCTGGGACCCTAATCCCATGTGACACTCCTGAAGTCCCTACCTTCTAGGTTGGGTCCTGTTCTTTGACCCCCAACTGCTAGCTGGGACCTCACTTGTCGGGAATTATGCGTGGAGTTCTTGGGAGATCTGTTTGCCACAAATGGTCTGCTGAATAGTATGTCCTGTTGCTGCACCCCAGCCCACCACAAAAGACCCTTGATGCTGATGCTGGACTGAATTGGGCAGGAAATTACTATGCTATGTTACTATAGACCAGAGATCCCTCCAGAAGCTCAAATTCTACTGTTAGTTCCTGCAGAAACAGACATTGTACAGGCCTAACAGCCAGGCCCGCACAGAAATGCTCCTGGTAGACAGACATAAGCTCCATCCGGTCTCAGAGTATACTCAGGAGTAACTGAGCTGTGTTGCATGGGTTATTGGTCCTTGGTGAGCAGGTTGGCAGGTAGCCAGAGGATCCTCTATGGTCAGGAAGAAGAGAAGATCTAAGAGTCTGTACTTCTATCTATAAGCTTGCTGAGTTACAGCTCCTGTGTGTGACTGTCTCCATGAATGTCCATAAACTTTACTATTAAAAAAGGCTCTATATCCTCAAAGTGTGTTGTCAAATTTTGGTCAATTGCATTGCTGTCCCATATGTCATCTATATAGTTCTAAAAACCTGGTCTCATTCTCTCCAGGTTGGTTCCTACTGAATTCTGAGATTGCTGTGGACCATTATGATGCCTGGTGCTCCAGGCTATCCCCCAAAGGCCACCTTATTCATTATGGAGCAGGACCATAGGCCCATATTCATGATACCATAGCATCAAAACACTCTATTTCCCCACTGCTCCAGGAAGAGGATGTGTTGAGTCCTCAATCGGGAGTACTGGGAACATGGGGCCCCTGCACCCATGGGGACAGCTACAGTGTGGGGAGTGGCTGTTGGGGCCATTGGTTACCTTCTCCTGAGGCATCTGCTTTGCAGTCCCAGAACAGAAGTCCCGTATCCCCTGGAGCAGAAGATTGCTTCTGTATTAGCTTAGAAGTCATTTCCTCTGGGAAGCCTTCAATAGCATTCATTACTTTCCCGCTAATAGCTCTTGTCACTGTAGTACAACTTCTTACTTAATTGTCTTTATTCTCCAGTAAACTCTGAGATCTTTGAAGGCAGAGACTACGGGAATTTCATTCACCATTGTCTCCCCAGTACACAGCAGAGTGCATGGTATCTAGTAGGTACTCAGTATTTGTTGAATGAATGAAGTTGAAGAATATCCCCTCAAAAGTCCCGGGTGGCTGCCAGATTCCTAACACTCTTGCTTCTAGAGCTACCTTTAAGAGGCTGGCTTCTTTGGGGTGGCTGGCGGGTGGGTGGGGTGGGGTCAGGGTGGGGTTCCCTGGTAACTACTCCCAGCTCTCTAAGAGCTTCCGTTGTATGAAACTCCAACATGAACAGTCTGTATGTTTCTCTCTGTATATTCAAGTAGCTCTAGGGACAATCCAAAGTCCAGCATTTTGATTACTCGAATTTCCCCATAACCATTATTGCTGAAGTTCCAGGAGACAAATAAGGAATTGCATTTTTCAGTTTCCATATAAAGGTACTAACATTTTCCCCTTGTCTTCAATGCTGGATGGCTTAGTAAGAAAGATCGATCTCTTTAGGAAGTCTGTGTCCAGGGTCTAAAGATAAGAGCTCAAGTATGATTTCAGCTGGCTTATCACACAGCCAGGCCAGCTAATGGAAAACAAATCTGCATCTCAGGAAGGAGATAAGCAGAAGTGTTGTCTTCAAGCACTCCAATGGTAAGAACAAGGAAATAATAACTCCACATGGTAAGTAAAATGGAAACAAAAAAAAAAAAGAGAGACTCTTGGCATGTTGTTTAATTGCACTTCTTAATGGGTTCTTTTCAAAATGTCATAAAAAGGTTCTACGTATTTGCCTTAATTATTAAAGAAATTAACAGAGAAATAGATGCTTATAAAAACTCAAATAGTATGTAAATAGAAAGTGAAAATTGCTTTTCATACCTTCTTCTATCAATAAGCACCATGCCCACTTCTGCCTTTGAAAGTTTGTATTTTATTTTTTTTAAGCTTATTTATATTTATTTTGAGACAGAGTGAGTGTGTGCGCAGGGGGAGGGGCAGAGAGAGAGGGACAGAGAATCCCAAGCAGGGATTCTTCTTGCTGACATCAGCGCAGAGCCTGACTCGGGCTTGATTTCATGAACCCTGAGATCATGACCTGAGCTGAAATTAAGAGCTGGACGCTTAACCTACTGAGCTACCCAGGCGCCCCTAAAAGTTCATACTTTAGTGTTTTCTCAAGACTTTCCCCAGGCTGCTCTCCTCCCCCTAGGCTCTACATTTGATGGCTATTGCAGATGTTGAGTGGGAAAAAATGCAATGATAATCATTTTCTCTATGGGTCTTGGGCATCTTCCCACCTCCACATTTGACCTATTTGTAAACTAAGGATTTGGGGCTATAGAAAACACGGGTGGTTTTGTAACAGCGGCACGAAGTCCCATTAACAGTATAAGAGCGAATTTTCCCCTTTCTCCTCTATTCTCCAAGCAAAGCACAAGCAGTTCTCAAGATAAGAACGTTCAACTTATTCAGAATAGCACTAAACTACTGGAACTTCGATGTGTTTAGGACACCTCTTTGAGATAGAACCCCATAACTCTACTCCCCACAGCTACTGCCCTCACCCTGTCCTGGGAGGCTGCACCATTATTGGCTCATCACCATTGACAATATAGGGTTTTTAGCATAATTCTCTGGGTCCAAATGCACTGCTCATTCATATCTGCTGATAGCCTTGCACGCCCTTACTGTGCCGAGATATGACGAGAGGGACTGGGGCCAGCCTGAGTGAGGAGACTAGAGGTGGAGCCCTTCTCTTCCTTTCCCTTATGTTCCCTTTCAAAGGCACATCAGCATCTAAAACAGTGTCCTCAGGTTCACAGCAGACAGTCAGTATAAATACTGCCAACGTTTTTTCCCAAGTGAAACGAGAAATCTGGCCCAGGGTGCACATGAGTGATTATCTTGGCTTAGGTAGAAACTGCCTTATCTCTTTGTAGAGGCGCCCAAAGGAGTTTTAAGGTAGGTAAGATAAGGTGGATACCTTGTTTCTCAGGGCTGGGTCTGCTCCAGCTTCCAGGAGCAGTGCAACTGTTTTAATATTCCCACTGAGCACCGCCGCGTGGAGGGCCGATGTCCCATTCTAAGAGAGAACAACAGTGTGTGTCAGGAGTGAGCTTACAGCCGTCAGCACTGAGCTTGGCTTTCATCATAAACCAGCCTGAGTGATGATGAGACTAATGTCGGAGCTTTACTCTTCCTTACATTCCCTTTCAAAGGCACGTCAGCACCTAATACAGTGTCCTCAGGTACACAGCAGACGGTCAGTATAAACACTGCCAACGTTTTTTTCCAAGTGAAACAAGAATCTGGCCCAGGGTGCATGTGACCTCATGATCAGTCTGTCAGTTTTAAAGACATTAGAATTTGCTGCAGGAAAAACAATGCTAGGTCAAACCTTCTTCTTTTTTTTTTCCCCCTTCAAGGACAGTATATACAGTTTCTGTGTATGTTCCGTCTAGACTGGAGAAATGGCTGGCAAGCCAACAGGCTGACTTGTCAGCCCGGCTACATGCACCCCACTCACTCAGCGGGTAGGAGTACCGCTGCGGAGTTATAGGGGAGCCTATGTGGGGCGAGGAAACCCCCAAGCCCTGAGTTGGAGCATTTTTGAGCACAGAAGGGCCTACTGGATAGGTGGCTGACATTTTATGAAATTTACTGCAAATAGAAGACAGCATCTATGTGCAGTATGGAGCCAGATTCTGGGGGGAGAGAGAAAGAGAATGTAACAAATCTAATGTAGGAATGATGGATAGTCACATGACATCTGTTCCAGAAGGTGCGTATGTCTACAAATAGCATCTAAATGCAACTTTAGTTTCCACAATAGCTATTTACTATAATAATAATGAACCATTTCCATATTTCATGAAAGAACAAAATATCATACCCATAGGAAAATTCCAGCAAAGTAGCATTTTCCTTTCCAAAGCGGCATGTCTGTTTTTATAACACGTAGGACAACTTACTTGTCTGGTAACATTAGACCCATCCGAATCTTAACCAACCTGTCAACTTCATCTGTTTGCAACATGGTTAGGAATAAAATACCAAGCCAAAAAAGAGCTCTTTGAAACAAGACTAGATATTGCAAAGCCCATTTCTGAAGCTCATTTCTTTTATTCATAGAGAGTTCACTTTCATAGACTATTTGTTCTTACTTTATAAACAATTTCAATGAGTGCAGCTTTCTGGTTTCCAAGTTCATGGAAGATTAGAAGTTGCTCTTTGGGACAGTAGGAGGGGCCAGCATTCTGATAACAGCAGACCAGTATCAGCTGGTAGCAAGAATAGAGAGTAAATATGTTGACATCAGATACAGAGTCCAAAAGGCATTTAGGATCATTCAAGGGCAGGTAGACTTTTTATACATCCATAAACACTGAGGGTACATTTCCCAAAAGTGCTAGGCCACTGTCCCAAGTTTAGAACAGATTTTCTGTCCTCCATTTAAGAGAACAGAAGTGTATACTGGGGGCTCGCAAACTACAGCCCGTGGACCGATTCTAGCCTGCCGCTTGTTTTTCTGTGTTCTGGCAAGCTGAAATTGAAAAGATTTAAAAGAACAATACTACGTGAAAGTATGAAATCCCAGGAATACAATGTCCATAAATAAAGGGTTAGTGGGAGGCAGCCATCCTTTGTCCCCATGACTTTCATGCTACAATAGTAGACTTGAACAGTTCCAAGAGACTGTATGGCCCGTGAAGACTATAGTATTTTACTATCTGGCCCTTTATTGGAAAAGATTGCCAATCCCTGGTATATATTCTAATTTAGAAATATCTTAGTCTCAAATGATTAAAATTTAAAAAAGAGTTTTAGGGCTCTACTTCCTGGCAGACCCAGCTCTCCAGAATGGCACGTTCTTGGAGGTGTCCAGATATCTGCGACTTATTTTATTTCATCTAAGGTAACAATGTGGTTCTTCATTCCAGATAACGAAGGGAAGGAACAGGAGCACCTGTCCCCCATATTTTGTGGGACACAAATCATGTGTTTCATGACTTGTGGAAGATTTTAGTCCAATGAAAGTTATGTATCAATATAGTTTACTTTCCAAGTTAGCGATTTCATTACTACTAATTTTTTTTTTTCCTGTAAAACTAAGTACTAACAGACTCTGGTTCACTCTTCTTACCACCTTTTCATTTCAACCAGTGCCCACGAATCTCCAAAATAAAGAAACTGTTGGAAAGTTCTTCCAAGACTGCAACTAACCATGTGAATTATACTCAGATTCTGCTACAGTCCTCAGCTATGGGCTTCTTAATTTCTAGCCTCTCTTTCACAGATTGGTAAAATTTCTCGTTAAGTCTTACCTTCAGAATGCCAAGGGTGGGTGAGAATTTTAGCAACTCCTTTATAACATCGTTATACCCTTTGTTGGCTGCTTTTAGCAATGCTGTGGTACCATCCTTAACAAAGCAGAAAATAAAAGTTGGTTATTAAGATATGTGTGTGTTGGCTAAGAACTACATGTTAGTTGAGAACTGGGAATATGCTTATCAGAACAGACGAAAGGTGTAAAGTACGAGCAGGCCAAGTCTCTTAATCTAGGAGCATTTTAGAGCATATTAAGCAGTTAATGAAAGAATGAATTCTTTCATGTTTAGCATGAATTTAGCATGCTATAATTCTTTAACATGAAAGAATGCTAAACAAAGTATGTGGCTTATTATCTTAGAACCCTGTCACTTGGGAATTCATACCCTTCCCGTCCCTTAGAACACCGGGTAAAGGGCAAGGGAACATCGAGAATATATTTTAGGACACAGATGGACCAAAGATCCATAGACTGCAGTTTATGACTTAGCAGAAATTACTGCTACACTATTTGTAATGATTTAAATAATTGTTGAACTATATTTACTGTTTTAAATTTTAAATGTGCTTTTCTTTTTGCCTTCTCTTACGTACAACCTTGCTCTAGTGTGCCCTAGGGGTCTGTGGGGGTTGGGGTGAGTGGGTGTGGAGTAGGAAGGGGACAGATTGAAATATGTTAAAAAGAAATGCAAAAACAAGTTCAAAAATTTATATTCAGCTTCTGTCATCACTTTTTGACCTGGAAAGAGATTTTCCAAATTCCTTTTTCTCCTGCTTTTACTTATCAGTTGCTGTATTTGGAGGATTCAGCTCCCAGAATTCGCCTATAATAAAGGAAATACCCCAGTCTGCTCTAAGGGTTTAGCTGGAACCAGGAAAAAAGAAAATGAGATTAGAAGATTTTTCTTCTCTGGCTTCAGAGATGTGGGACCCAGAGAAAGAGTGGGAGGGAGAAAGAGAGGAAGAGAAAGAGTGGTCAGGAATGTGTCTTTTCCCTTTTCCGGACTCAGACTTGGGAGAGGGGAGTGGGTCATATTAGTAAGGGTAATACTAAGGAAAAAAAGGCCAGACACTGAAAAACCAAACCAAACCAACCAAAGCCAAAAAGCGAATAGCACAGTGTGGTCAGGTAGCAGGGTCTCCCCAAGCTGCCCTCAGTTCCTATGGGCAACAGGGCCTGCTGTGGGCCCAACTAGGCAGACTTAGGTATAACTTTAGCATTGGCTAGGTGGAGGCCAATGGGGGTGTGGTGCAGGGGTCCGCAGCTGGGGAAGCTGGGTGAGGTGGAGACCCAGGAGCACCACCAGCCACTGCGCCTGCGTCCCCGGCTACACTGTGGTCCAGGGCCAGCAGGGGGCGCAGCGACAGGCGCACGCGCAGCCGCTAGGGACACACACTGCCAAAGACAGCCCGAGGCCCTGGCTCCTGCCTGCCGCATGCTCCCGGGACTCAGCTTAGGTGGAGGAGGAGCTCCGAAGATCAAACATGTTTCATTTAGAGAGACTGGGCAGCACTCGCTAAATTTCAGCTGATTCAGACATTTACTTTGTTTTCCTGCTGAAGAGTCGGTGGAGGTTGGGAGAAAAATCCAGCCGAGTTACAGACAAAATGAAGGCGCGATTTCTCCACACGTCCAGGCTGAGTTGAATTCTGGAGCTTCGGTGCATACACTCGGGGGGGGGGGGGGGGCGCGCGGGGGGCTGCCGCCCGGGACGCCGCCCGCAACGTGAGTCAGAGTCACAGCTGCGGCACGGGGTGGAGGAGGGGGCCCTCGTTCCCACATAAGAGAGGGCAGTTTTCTTTGAGGCGATGCATGAGGGTCAGAGAACTAAAGACCGTTCTGCCATTCTTCTGGTGTCTAGAATCCACCCCCACCCCAGCCACGTCATTTTTCGGTAGTTTAGTTTTATGCCGGATGTGCTATTGTTTCTTCTGGGAAGGCACGTACACTAGCGACATATAGCAGGACATTTTTGGTAATATTTCCTGTGTATTGTTCCCCCAAAGACCCTGTTTATGTGAGCACTGGGCCATAAAGCTGAGATGGGTTGCTCCACAGAAGAAAAGGTGAAATATCCAAGGGACTGAGAAGGATTTGATAGGAGAGTGGTTCCTGCCAGACAGAAAGGAAAACAGAAAACCCTTCCAAGTGCTGGAAGGAAGCTCTGGACACGGAGTAGGGGAGGGGGAGGTCAGGCATGAGCATCCATGTTTTCCTCCTGGGGTGAATCTAGAGGTGGGTAGAAACACCCAGATAAATTATGGTGAATTCCAGCTGGGAAAGGATTTTCTCCTGTCCGTGGGGATGAAACCCAGAACTGAAGGTCTCTTAGAGAAGCTCTGCTCTTGGCTGGTGCCTGAGAGATAGAAATGGGTGAGGGAATCTGGGCCAATGGACCTGAGACAGGCCCCCAGTGCCCCTGGTCCACGGCCACCAGGCATCTGGGCACCCAGGACCCCCTGCCTACCTGTGTGAAATCAGAAGTGCTAGGTAAACCGTGGCCTGGAGTCAGCCTGGGGTTGGAAAGATGAGGCCACAGAAGGTCATGATTTCACAATGACAGGTCAAGAAGGTACCAGTGTAGGATACTCAGACAGGAGAGGCTGGACTAACCAGCACAAGGACCAGACATGAATGTCCCCACCCCACTCCACCCCATCCTCATGCCAGGGTGATAGTCTGACCTCTGAGAACTTAGGCCACTTTGGAGGGCAGGGCAGGAAGAGGGAGGAGGAACCAGAGCTGACTAAACTTAGGCTCTGAGGTAATTAAAGTAATATGGCCCCAAGGAACTGTTTTGGTTGGATGAGACTGAATTACTCATCAGTGGGAATGAGGGCTGAAGAGCAAGATGATTCAGTCAGAGACGTAAAGTTTCGTTTCCTGCTGTAGTATGTAATTTCAACTCCAGCATGCGCAGGATGATTGCCCACTGCTGTCCCAGCAAAGTGATGGAGGACAAGGACATGTGAGCAGAGTGGTGGGTGGTGGCAAATTGGGAGCCTAGAAGGATCGGGGGCTGCTGAGGGGTGGTAGGATGACACAGGCACCCCTCTGTCGTGGGGAAGAAGTGCTGAAACAAAGCATGGAAGCAGGATGAACACCGAGAGCGACTTCATACTTTTACTGGGGCCCCTTAGAAATATTCTTGAATCTGAATATTATTTATTATTAGCAATAGAAATAATACCTTAATTTGTACTTCTGTTTACAAACAGGTATACATCCATTATTTAACCTGATTCTCCCAATTCAGGATCATTCATTCATTCACTCAACCACCCAACCATTATTAAGTATCTCTGGCAGAATGCTAAATAGGACATGACCTCTGTTCTCAAACTGAGTCTAGTGGAGGAGAGACATGGAAATTTCAGGATGATTACAGTGCTATAATAAATATGGAAAAAAATGCCCAAGATGAACCAGGAGAGGGGCTTTCTTATTGTGTGTCAGCTTCACAGTTGGGGTGATATCCGAGCTGGGCCTTGAAGGAGGACTAGGATTTTGCCAATTGGGGGTTGAAGGGAGGGAATTCTGTGTAGAAGGAGAAGCATGTACAGGTGCAGTGGCTTGGAAAGGTGTGGTTGCTTCAGGCAGGGTGGGAAATCCAGCTGACTGCAGCCCAAGGGATAGGTGCTAGAACAGGGGTGAGGGTGAGGGTGGGCAGGAGAGGGAGGCTGGGTGCCGGAAGCTCTTGTCCCTCCTTGTCTGCTCTGGGTTCATTTGTTCTTTCTCCCTGTCTCCACCAGAGGGCAGGCAAGGCAAGGCAGCCAGCTGCATAGAGGTCAGCAGGCATGTTCAATGTGCTTTCCAAAGGCTTGGCTGTTAGTAACACTAACATGTGGGAAAGTGCTGAGAGGTGATGTATTGGAACAACTATTAATATCATCAATTCATAACAGTAATGCTAACACTTAACTTCTATCACTTTAATTGCAATGGTCACAGTAGGTGGAAAAAGAAGTCACTACTTTATGGTTAGGAGACCTTAGGCAAATCACCCGGAGCCTTGGTTTTCTCCTGCAAAAAATGTTAGCTCCCAGAGATATTCATATACAGGAAAACATGCAGAAAGACGCTGAGCGCAGGACTGGCTTATGTGTGCTTAGAACTGGTCACTGAATCTGCACATGAAAAACAATAAGCACTTTAATTTGTGCTTTTGTTTGCAAAACACTACATGCTTGATCGATTCTCCCAGTTTTCCTGTGAGATAATGACTGAACAGGTAGGAATGATTGGTAAAATGGGATTTGGGGTTAAACCCAGCAAGCTGAATATAAATTAGAGAATTATTGTCAAATCAAAGTATTTCCCAGTTGATTATCTAGTTGGTGGAGAGGAGAAGTTTTCCCTTCTGGACACCTCAATTCTTATTTTCTCTTATTTTTCTCTTCTCTTATAATGGTCGTGTCTTCATTATAAAGATGACTTCACGATGAAAATGATAAACATTAAGCCTGTTTAGCTCCTTTTTGTTGAGTTTTGAGAGAATGGAGTAAGAAAAAGCACTAAAAAATTTGTTTGTGAATACTTTCTGACAAAAATATATAGTTTTAAAATATGTTAAAACAAATCACAGCGAAATAAATCACAGGAAGTTAGGACCTCTATGGGACCTTTTTTAAGAAAAGGAAATAGGACACTTAGCTTGAAGAAGATGAGATTCATGGGGTTATTTATGACAGTTGTCATTTACTATCTGTGTGCAAACTGAGCAGAAAAGGATTTCTTTCTTATTTCTTATGCTTCTTATAAAATATATTTTTATTTATCATTTGCCTATTTTGCATATCAAGTGGCACAAAGAGGGCTGATGGGTAAAGACTATTCAAGACTTTGGCTCAGTGTAGACAGAGGTGGTAGTGAGGGCTGGTTAAAGACTAAATAAGCTGATGAGTTAGTAATGAGTCCCCCCACACTTGGAGGGGTCCACCAATGACTGATTACCACTCAGCAGGACTGCTAGAGAAAAGATTCATGTGCTTGACAGGGGATTACACAGGTGACTTGTGCCGTTCCTTCTGACTTGGTTATCCCCTTGTTGCATCCGAGAGAACATTTCCAAGTATTATCTAATGCATTTGG